GAGCAGAGGCTCCGTGGGGTGAGGGGCCAGACAGGGCATCGCCCCACACGGAGCTGGAGCCCGCGGGAGGGAGTGACAGCCCCGAGGCTGTGTTATGGCAGGTTTTGTGGTGGGTTTGTTTCTGTAAAAGACATGTACAGCTCCAGCCTGGAAGGGCCCAGCAGTGCTGCGGGCTCAGCCCATGGAGGAGAGGCGAGGAGAAGGGCAGCGCTGCTCAACAGCAAGTGCCCTCGGCCCACTGGGAGGGGAAGGGGTGGCCAGGAGCCCACCTGTGGAGGAGACATTCGGGGAACCTGTGCCCCCAGGGAAACCTGTGATTGTACCCAAAAAGGCCAACAGAGCCCGCAGCCCTCGCCCTGGGGAGCACAGAGACCCCTGTGCTGCCCCACAAGACGGGGCGCAGCGGCACCCGGGCGTTAGATGCTGGTGAGATGATGGAGCAACCCTGCTGCCTCTCGCTGCGTCAGGAGCCATCCCTGGGGCTGGGGGCCTCTCCTCACCTCTCCTCTCCCTCTCTGAGCCAGCCCGAGTCCAAAGGAAGGAGAAGTAGCAGCAAGAGAGACGTTCAGGACCGGGCCAGCCCCAGGTGGGCTCCATGGCAAAGCCATTCAGGTGCTGGCAGCGCTTTGGGGCTCTGAGGGTGTAGAGAATTCTGAGACTCCCCGCCGGGCTGAGGAAGAGATTGTAAAAGCAACAAGAGGAGGAGGAGGAGGAGGAAGGAGGTGATTATCAGGAGAGGAGCAGAGCTGCCCCAAGCCAAGGGCTGAGGCTGCTGGAGCACGGGACGAGCCCAGCGGGGAGTGTGCGTGTGCGGGCAGGGGCCAGGCGGACGCCTTTCTGCCGGCCCCGGGGAGATGGGGCAGCCTTTGGCGGTACCAGCCCAGAGCAGAACCTCTCCCTGGGGCCTTGAGGTGTTTGCAGGAGAGTCCCGGGTTCCTGAGCTCTGATTGAAAACCCGTGAGTCCCCTGAGTGGGAGCTGAGAGCCACTGCAGAGAGCATGGGCCAAGGGCAGAGGAGGAGCAGGGGCTGCTCTGAGCCCAGGAGGACTCTGGAGGGTGCCCCAGCCCTGCCCTGTGCCCGCACCGCTCCTCCCACTGCACGGGGACACGTCCCACCCCTAATACTGTTACAAAAAAAACCCCAAAAAACCTAAATCCAACAAAAAACCCTCGCCCGTGCCATGCCAGACCCACACACCGCGGTGTCTGAACGGGGAGGCGAGGGGATGGTGACCTCCACAGAAAACCTCAGAGCAAGAGGAGGAGAGAAAAGGCCCCTCCAAGACTCGCCTTAGACAGCTCCAGTCTCAGCTCCGAGGGGCATCCCCAGCCGGAGAGGACGCGGTGCGAGGAGACGGGGAGAGGCAGGGGCCGGGGGTGCAGCGGGAGGTGCAGTGGGGTGCCATGGCTTCCGTTTGCAGCGGACGGGGGTCACAGGGGAAAAGATCAGCGGCTGCGACCTCGGCGTCCTTCCCTGCAACAGTCTCGATTGGCTCCGCTTAGATCCGGGGCAGCAGCTTCTCGATGAACTCCTTCACCGCCATCATCTCCTGCGGAGAGCGCAGAGCCCGTCACTCCAGGGCTCCCCAAGGGCCGTGCATCGTCCCAAGTGTGGGGACACGAGGACTGTGCAGCCACCCCGGAGCAAATCGGGGAGTAAACACATCCTGTGTGTTCTGGGCTCAGCGAGGTCCCCGACCCACCGTGCTGGGGTCGGTCCCCAAGGCAAGACCAGGTTCTGAGACCCCCATCCCCTCTCTCTGTCCCGAGGCACTGACCTGAGGACAGGAACTGTGCATCACGCCGGGGTAGGTTTTGAACTGGACCTTGGTGGGAGTGACGACAGATTTCAGCTTCTCGGCAGTGAGGGCCCCGAAGCGGACGGGGATCATGGGGTCCATCTCCCCGTGGCACTGCAGGATGGCAATGTCCTTGTTCACGCCGTTATTCGCCGCCTGCAGCGAGGAAGGAAGAGCTCAGGGGTGCCCAGGAGAGGGGATCCCCAGCGGGGAATGGGGCAGGGGCTTTATCTGCGTCCCCACACACATCCCCTGACAGCTCCCCTGCTGAAGAGGGATGTGGGAGAGCTGCTCACGCAGCCACCAAACACCTTTGCTGCCAGCAGGACCAAGCTGCTGCCCGGTGAGCACGAGGCTTGGGGAGCAGATCAGCTCACAGATCCCCACACCAGATCAGGAGCAGAGCCCCAATTTCTCCAGTGCCCTCACCCCCCCAAGGCCCCAGGAGTCAGGGTGTGGGATTAAGCCCCCACCACAGGCACCTCGTGCCTCCAGCAGCCCCAGTCACACACTGCAGCGAACTCCAGATGGGAAAATCCTCCCCCCAGACCGACCCTCCCCGCGGACACACGGAGCAGCAGCGGTGTGGGGTACCTGCGGGAAGGCCTTGTGCAGCGGGAGCCAGCAGCTGAGCGCCACGATGCCAGCCAGCTGGTGCTGGCAGGTGAGAGCCGTGTACAGCGACAAGGCACCGCCCTGCAGCACATGAGGAAGGTCTGTTAGTGCCACTGAGGGGGATCCACAGTCCTGGGGCACCCACCCACCTCCCTGCCATGGATGTTCCCTTTGAGGGGTGTCTTTGGAAGGGGAAGAAGGAACCCAACACTCATCCTGCTCCACCTCAGCCCCCCGCAGCTCAGCTCACCTGTGAGAAGCCCCCCAGGATGATGCGGTTGGGTGGGATCCCGTTCTTCATCTCATGCTCAATAATTGCTTTGACTGGAAGAAGACAGAGAAATGGGTCAGTGGAAGGAGGGGAGGGTGAAGAGCAGCACCCGAGGCCTGGGGGTGCCCACAGGACACTCAGAACCTCGGGGAGAAGCAGGTGCCAGAGGGACTGAATGCACTTGGCTTCAGCCAGGGAGAAAGTGGGCTGGGATCAGAGAAGAAAAGAAAAAGGAAGGAGAGGTGGAAGGAAGACATCTGCTCCTGTCCCAGTGAGGGAGAGGTGCCCAGGAGCTCAGCACTTCCCCCTCCCCAAAGTTTCTTACTGTTTTCTGCAGCTTTCTTGATCCCAGCTTCATCCTCAGGTGCATCTGGAGTCAACCCCATCAGATCAAACCTGGGAGAAAAGGCAGAGTCACCACAAACCTCTCCTGGCACCCAGGGTGTGGGGAGGTGGGAGCTGGGTGTGCTCTGCCCTTCCCCTGACTCCTACAGGGCAGTGGATTTTGGCTCTTCAGTCCCTCCATCCCCCTTACTCCCCAAAATACACCCTCAAAAGGGTCCCACCCACACCCCTGCCGCCCAGAGCACTGACCAGGAGGGCATAACCATCTTCATGTTGAGGGTCACTGGGATCCGGGGCCTGTGGAGAAAACAGTTTGGGTGGTTTAGTGCAAGAGAAGCCAGGCCAAGGGGAGCAGGGTGACCAGCCCTCCTGCCCGCAGCTGCAGGACACCTCTCCCAAGGGACAACAGCAGGTTGGTGACACCAGACTCAGCCTGGGGGCTGCAAGGTGACCCCAGGGATCATCTATGAGCTCTGAGCAGATCCTGGCTGAGCTGGCAGCTCCAGGGCGTTGCCAAGCAGCCCGGCTGGGGAGGAGAGCACCTGCGTCCCTCTCCTGTTTGCTGCTGCTGAGCCAGGAGATGCTGATGGAGCAGCTGAGATGGGACACTGGGAAGCCAAGGCCCTGCTGCCGGGGACGCTGCCGCGGGGGAGCTCGCCCAGCCTGGTGAGTGCCCTCCTGCCAGGGCTGCTCTCAACACATCAGGGAGCATTTCCTTCCCTTTCTTCCTTTTTCCTGCCTGACCAGGGGGACAGGGAAGGAGCTCCAGTGCTTTTGGCTTTCACTGCAGCCATTGGGGAGAGGCAGAGGACAGGACAGGGGAGAAAACAGACTCAGAGCAGCAGCTCCTGTGCTGATCAACTCTGTGGGGAACCACTTTCCCTGCAGGCAGAAAATGTCAGGGCTGGGGCCCTGAATGAAGTGGCCACAGCAGGAGAGCCAGCCTCACTGCACAGCCCCGCGGGAAGGTCAGGTCACAGGTCACCTCCCCACACAGTCTGGGAAGCAGGCAGAAGCATCACAGCCCACCCAGGCCCCCCAAGGAAGGCCCTTCCTGAAGCAAGGACGGCACTTACGCGTGAGGGCAAATGTATTTCACGTAGGGGAGGCGGATGGAGGAGAGAGCGTCAGCCCAGCTGTGCCTGGGGAGAGAGGAGAGGAGAGGAGGGAGTTCCAGGCTTGCCTTAGTGTTTTGGAGGATGCTGGTGAGGTTGAGGGATTTCCCTCAAGGACAGTTTTTCTCCAAGGCTGCTGACCCCCTGCCCCAGCATTGTTACACCAGGTCCTGCCCACTCCAGCAGCCTGAATCCCACCGTGAATCCCCGGCACCGATCTCCTCTGCGGCAGGACAAAGCCCCGCCGCTGGAGGCAGGGGAGCTGCTATCAGCAAGGCAGGAGGGAGAATCTCCTGTGCAGGGAGAAGCCTTTTCTTACTGCTGTATCTCAGGCTGGCCTCGAAGGTGGCCTTGCACATTAGAGAAGACGCGCTCACGTAAACACAACCCAACTCCCAAGGACTAGAAAAGCCGCAGTGCTTATCTGCTTGCCTTAAAGAAAGCAGAAAATCAAACCCGCAGGAGGCGGGGGGCTGCCAGGCTGCTGGGATCATAAATATTCAAGCACAGACATCTGCTGGCCAGCAATTCCCTGCGAGTGTGGCGCAGACACGGCTCCCGGCCCGAGCTCAAAGCCCCCAGACACATCTCGGAGCTGCCCCTGGGGAGAGCAGCACCAGTGCTCGCAGCAAACGGCCAGACCCAGGCTTGTGTTCAGCAAACCACACGTCACAGGCAGAGCCAGCTCCAGGAATACTCACCCCGTGTCTCCAAGGCCGTGTAAAAAAATGACCTGTTAAATTAAGCAGAAAAACAAAAGAATTGGCCGGTGTGACAGGCAGTGCTCGGGGAGAGAGGCAGGGCTGGGCTCGCAGGGAAGCGGCAAAAGGCCACTTAGTCACTAACTAGAGGAGCCTCAAACAGGCAGAAATTAACCGATGCCAGTGACACATCCCTGCAGCTTTGAGTGTGACGGATGGGTGGCACAGGCACATCATCGTCACCCAGCCACAGAGCCTGCTGGTGCTGGCACCGACAGGTTCGGGGACGTTGTCGATCCCTCGGCTGCCCAGCGTAGCACCGGGCCAGGGAGCGATGGATCGTCCTGCCAGGCTGTGTGGCATCACGCTGAGCGGAGGCTGAGCTTGGCAGGGACTCACTAAACCCATCCCTACAGGCTTTTCATCCAAGGCTGGAGCAGAGGGAAGGCAGCCTGGGGGGCACCGGGGAACAACAGAGGATTTTCTTTGGGAGATTTACTTTTAAAACCTTAAACAATCAAATCAGATCCAACTCCCACTGACTTCCCTGCGGATCTAAGCTAGCTGGAAGGCTGTGCCTGTGCTTCTATGCTGGACTGAGCACCAGAAACAACCAGCCCAGCCCAAAAGACAAATACTTTTCCCCAGCAAGACCAGACCTCACTGGTCCTGCGTCCCCTTTGATACCCCGTGATGTACAAGTGAAGAGCCCAGGGATAACAGGCTCAGCTCACGGCTCCTCTGAACCCCAGGGAAGCAGCTCCACATCTGCAACGCTGCTAAAAGGGAGGAAGCAGGTGAGGCAGGAGGGATCCGGCCCTTACCGCGGCAGTCTCCCGCTCTGCCCCTGAGACAGTCACTGCGTCAGCGAGGAGGGGGACAGACATGTTGTTACCACACATACACTGAGAGGGACTCGGACACTGGCACCTGCAGGACAAAGGGACAAAAGTAAGGCAGGAAAATAACCCTCCCTCCTCCTCCTCACCAACTATTTGCTCCAGAGGGATCAGCTATTTGGGGGAAAATTAAAGACTATAGGAAGGCTTTGATGTTGAAGCCCTGGGGACAGCCCCACTCCGTCCCTGGCCTGGCAGCACCAGAGAGCCAGGAAGCAGCAGCAACCGCTTCCCACATCGCAGCACCAGATGGGTGTGAGCGGGGATCCGCGCGCGGGGCGTTGGAAGTGTTAGAATTATCTCTTTCTGTTACACCTCAAAGCCAAAGTTATTTGTGTGACTGTAACGACGTGGGCAGAGGGTGGCTGGGCAGCATCCCCTCAGCATCCCCCCAGCATCCCCTCCCGGCTGCCCGCGGGGCCGAGGGAAAGCCCGACCCCGACCCACATCTGCTCCGACGGGCAAGCAGGAAACGCCGGCCCTCGGCAGGCAGCAGCGCCGGCTTTACAGCACCAATAAAAGCTCCAGCCCTCTTTTATGGAGCTGTTTAGGGATAAACCAGGGGACCCAGCCCTCCCAGAACCCCCCCAGTCCCTCCCGCCGGGCAGCCAGCCAGGCCCGGATCCTGGTCACCTGCGAGGCGGGTGGCTCTGGCAGCCCCCACGACACCACCCTCAGACCCGGTGTCAGTCGATGGTGTTTTGTCCCCAGTCTGGTATAAATCACCCAAATTACGGTGCCTCACGTGACAAGCCCCAACCCTTGCTTACTGCCCGGGACTAATTAGATCAGAGCTCGTTAACAGCGCTGCCATCATCTCCCAGCCACTGCCAGGAGCAAGATGAGACCCCCACGGTCTGCTTGAGCTTGCACATCTCCAGCAGCATCCCCAGAAGGTTTTGGGATGACCTGAACCCCCCCAAACTCCCGATATCCCAAGAGACGACCTTACCCCACAGAAACAGCCGCCTTCCCCACCAGCCTGGCCTGGCCAAGACCTGCTCAACTCGTTTCACCAACTGCTCCTCAGTTATTTCCCCGACTCAAATAAAAACACACCAGGAACAAACATCTCCCTGGGTCTGAGGAACCTCACAGACACCACAACCCACAGCCCACGTGCTCGTGTGTACTCCAGGGTCAAAACAACCAGTGAGAGGGGAAAAAAACCACCAGCACCTGCCAAAATTCCTGCCAAAAAGAGCCATAAATAAATAAAAGCATCTCCCATGCCGGGTGGAGACGCTGAACGGAGCTCCCTGAGCAGCCACGGGCGGGTGGTTCTGCTTTATCCACAGAAACCTCAGGGAAAGGGGAGGTTGGGAGGGTCCCGGACCCCCCCGTGGACACCCCGATTCCTCTGGGGTGACTCTGCCCCACTCCTGGGGTATCTACAGGGGGTTCCACCGCTGTGAACAGGCACCTGCGTGCCCCAAACACACCCCGGGGTGGGTAAAGCCCCGAGAACGGGGCTGTGACTCCATAAAAACCCCGAAACGCACAAAACCAGCGACTTGCTCGGGACCCGGGACCCCTCGTGCCGTTCCAGCGGCAGCTCCAGAGCGATGCCGGGGGTGGGAGACCCACG